AACAAGTCAAATAAGCACTGCTGGATGTTCATCCAAGATACAACTAGAGCCGAAAGATTAATCAATTTTATAGCAACATGACAATTTGAACGAGAGCAATTTTCAAATTGAAGAGCTGCTGTAGTTATGGCCTACAATATCAACAACATTAGTGGGGTAAATTTAACCAAATAACACTGAGCCTGTGAACTGCCTGCAGATGAGTTAGACCAATCAGAAGCAACCAAACACCTGTGCTGTGACATCACAACCACAAATAACTGGCAGTAAATGGCAACGTTCAAGGCTCAAGTCAGAAACTAAGGATATTCTGGACCTCTTGGCCAAAATTCTGAAAAACAGGCCTGGATATTTATTTATAAAAAAATATTCTCAATTTAAAATGCAGTCAATTTAAAACGCAGCCAATATTGGTCAGAAAAATTGCAACTACATATTTTCACCAAATTATTCAGTGGCATTTTTCTTATCGTGTTAAATTTATTATACTAGTAAAAAAGTAAGAAGTGTATATATAATAAAGCATTAAGCCATGAGAGGCTTATTGCTTTTATAAAATGCCAGCCAACATAAAATGTGATACAATACAACATTTTTCAGAAAATAATTTGTTATTATTAATAATAATCGAAACGGTACAGTATCATTGCCAAGCAACCATGGGCCGCTGAATGAGGAGAACATTCGGCCACCCATCGCTGTATATCTGTAGTCATTTCATGACTTTTTGACGTATAGCAATGAACATATGATACCACAGCACTGTTTAATGCAAAAACTCTCGCTTTATAAGTACTCTTTGGTCACCAAATCACCACCACGAGTCTTACTTTGCACCAATCCAGCGGCGCCCCTCTTCTCACGCTGGGGCTGAGTCTCAAATGGCTCCCTGCTCCCTACATAGTGCACTACATAGGAGTTTAAATACTGGATCCTGCAGCCCAACAGTGAATAATACAGCTAAGATACAGTCATTTGGGACTCAGACACATCCACACTCGATAAATGAAGCACTATTTGGGTGTAGAGGCTAGAACTCCTAAACTTCCATAGCTAGAACACTATTTAGGGACTACGGAGCCGTTTGGGATACAGCCTGGGTTTGACGCGACTTCTGACTGAAACATGGACATTTGACCAGTGTAAGACATTCAAATGACATTTTTAGACGTTTATACTGCTGTTTTACAGTTAATCATACTGAAGTGCATTAATTCCAGCCTGTGATATTAATGATGGGGTTGTTTAGGCTGTTGGCTCTTTTAGCCTGTTAGCTAGCTGACCAGCCCAGTTCTAGTTAAGAACATAAGTTGCCAGCCCCTCAGTTTAAACAAAAAAATGGGTTCTTACTTCATCAGTATACTCGGTGGTCCATGTGAGCAGCATCAAAGTCAAAGATTATTCCATTAACAGCACAAGGGTTGTTGTGGTCACAAATGTGCGTATATCGTGGGTTTTACAACGGCTTCGAACGCAGTTCAGCCAATCAGATTTTAGGGGCGGACCTATTCGTTTTATAAATAAATCTTGACTTGACCTAATCAGTCAGGTTCTAGTCTCTTAAAAGCACTGAATTTTTAACCAGTCTTTCAATTGTTCTGTCTTCGTTTATTCTTACAAATGTACGATGTAACTCTTTACGTCTTTCGAGTGCACTACAGTAAATCCCTGTTCATCTGGTGGTTGATGTGGCAGCAGAGTATCGAACCTTGATACACATATTCACACAGATAAACACGCACAAGGTAAAACGAGCCTCCAGGTAATCGTTACGCTTTCCTTTCGCTCTGCGCTGCCTGTGGATGTTTCCTAATGGCCCTCCTCACAGTAGAACTGCAATAACGTCCAGGCTCCAATCGATCAGCTCTGATTGATACAGCCTCGACTCCTTACAAAGCAGTTTGAACAATCGCTGGGACAGAGCCTGTGCCGCTCCACTACAGCAGAGGGGACTTTTCCGCAGGACGCCCATTGATTAGGAAAGTCATTAGGGCAGATGAATGAGCCGATGGGTTTGGGGGAAAAAAAAGAAAACTCCACGGTTCACTGCAGGAGGAAGCTGAAGAACTGAGACGCTCAGATACTCTCACATACAAACTCATATTCCTACATATGCAGTGGAGTCCAAGGCCCAGCACCATTTCACCCCTCGTCCCTACCACTTAGCCCTACCCCTCCGTTTTGCACATTCACGTCTAGGGGTAGGGTGTCCTGATTTTTGTTGAGATAGAGGGGTAGGGTGAAGTGTTAGGGCTACATGGCCCTCCAAACGGAGGATTTTCAGAGACTCCAAACAGAGTGATGAGGCAAAAAAAAGAAAAAATAGCAAGACTGCTGCACAAGAGACCAAAGACACCCACAAATGTGAGAATTTTCTCCATTAAAAATGACAATTACCACTGTTTTATCTTAGTTTAATGTCAGTTTGATACATTGTAGTCCTTTTTTTCATAACAAGCATAGAAAATCGTTAGTAGTATGCTGATGTCTCAGTAGCCAGCTAGCTAACTTTTCTGTTCCACCTTAAATGGCCGTCGAAACTGTTGCACTGTTTAATGTGGAACGGGAAAATTCGAACAAGAAGCTGGTGAATATCTGACTTCAGCTTCATATCATTGAAGAATTAGGGGTGGGTGATAATAAATAATTGCCCCCCCCCTTTGAAGGCATATGATGCTCTAAATGTAACTAAAGCCCAGCAGTGGGGAGCTGAACTTTACCCTCCTCTGCTGTCACTGCAGACTGGCAGGGTCGCCTACAGAGCAGCGCTGGTAGCTGTTAATGAAGTGATGCTCTTTTTATTTAAGGGTCCCATTTCAGAGGGAGGATTTCAACCACTACAACTTGTAACTCAGTTCCAAGGGGCAAACTGACGCACAAAAACTAGGGGTAGGGGTGAAAAAAAGAAATGGGAATGGGCCCAAAAGTCTGAGCTCATAATTAAAAATGCTTCTATCTGGGGTTCTCTTCTAATTTAATGCATTTTCTCCGTGACAAATTATACAGAATCAATGGATAATTCTATTAGAGTGAACTGTAGAATCTTAGTGTTTGGAGCAGAAACTGGTCTGCAGAGGAGACGAAGTTTATGCTCTGAAGTTTAAAAGACGGCGGTGGGACGGACGTCCAGCTTATGTCTCTCAGAACACGACGTCTTCCTCTCGGCCTTCTTTTGTTTGTAAACACAGACAGGCTATTAATGGTTTAATGGTTTAGCTTGTGGTGGTTCTTACTGCAGGTCTAGCCATATTCACTTGATTTCCTCTATTCAGGGCTGTCGTGAACATCTTTACTTCTTTCTAACTTCAGAACGGATAAAGGAAACTGTTACGCTTAAATCTGGGGCTTTCATAAATGCTGTGCTCTTTAAATGTGTTGAATGAATCGTATTAATGGCTCTTTTCCTTTTTTGAACTAATGGTTCAGCTTGTCTGGTCAAGGCTCAGCTGGTCCTTTCGGCAACTCCAACAGCAGATATTAGACAGTATGGAGAGGGCCAGGATTGTACTGATACAAAAGGCCCAGCAGGACAGCATGGAGAATTGATTTTTCACTGGGGAGCTGCAAAGCCTTACATCCTATAGTCTCTGGTTTCTGTCTGATCACTGAAGTTACAAACCTGAGGAAGGTGCCTAACCCAGAAATTCCCAATTTCAGCCCCCATGACCAGTTTAATGGTGCATTTTCTCCAATTCGTGCTATGAAGAACTTGATGATTACCTGATTTATTGAACGTGTGTCAGTGGTGGTTCAAAGCTATTTGTCCAGTAACCACTAATAGACTTAATAATGTGATTTCTGACACTGTATAACACACTATTATCTATAAACATGGACTAAAGTACATCACATAGCTTAAAAAACAGTGGAAGTCTTTATTCTGACGGACTGTAATACACTACAGGAAGTGTAGAGGGCGATATGGCTTCTACTGTTTCATTTAAAAAGCCTCTATAATGTTCATATGATCCACACAGTCACTCTGACAGACTGTAATACACTACAGGAAGTGTAGGGGGCGATATGGCTTCTACTGTTTCATTTAAAAAGCGCTCTATAATGTTCATATGATCCACACAGTCACTCTGACAGACTGTAATACACTGCAGGAAGTGTAGGGGGCGATATGGCTTCTACTGTTTCATTTAAAAAGCCTCTATAACGTTCATATGATCCACACAGTCACTCTGACAGACTGTAATACACTACAGGAAGTGTAGGGGGCGATATGGCTTCTGCCCATGATGTCTTAATAAATGCATTTACAGCTTTCTTTTAGTTTCATTTAGTTGTCTCAACCCAAAACACCAAACACTGTGAAAAATGACTGCAGTTACCTTAAAAAATTCCGATCATCTCAAATAACTGTGATTAGAAAGTGAGCGGAATGAAAGAATTATAAAATTAGTCAATCAAATAAAAGCTGATAAGAAAACTGGAAATAATCACATAAAACATTGTTTAAGTTATTAGTGTAAAAATAATGTTAATTTAAGGTATTTTAGATGGTAATAATCTAAAACAACTTCTATTACTTGTCTAAAGAAAAAGCACTCTGAGCTGACAAAGGCATGAAAAGTGTAATATAAATAAAGTTTTTATTATTATATTTATGGTTGTTGTTTATTCAATATGTCTAGTGTTTTGGGAACAAAAAGCAGCTATTAAATACTAAAGAAACAATTTAAACAGTGTATATTTTGGTCAATTTATCTTCCTTTAGATCTGACTGACATTTCTGAATGATGAGTCATTGTAGATATTAATTTTATTTGAACCATTCTTGATGTTCTACAGATTTCGCAAACATTTGAGGATCGTCTGCTGCTCTGTTCATCATTCTGTACACGTTTCCATATGAAGCTGAACTGGACTGGCATATTAGAACTATTTTATATATTCATCTGTAATCAAATTAGCTTTACATGATATAATTAATATGATATTACTGAAAACATCAAGCATGTTTTTAGACAGCTCTGCACTCAAAAGCTTCGTACCTGCAATGCTGGCGAATATTTCACTGATGCCGATGAGGACGTACTGAGGAACCTGCCACCATATGGCCAGATCAGCAGCGTAATACGTCACTCCCCCCATAACCTGACTGATCGGCCCCAGAGAGTGAACTATGTCCAACCGCTTCGTCTCTAGAATACCTGAGAGAGAGAGAGAGAGAGAGAGAGAGAGAGAGAGAGAGAGAGAGAGAGAATGAGACACAAAATATTTTCTTTGTTGTTCATTTCTCTGTTGCTGGTGATTTTAAATACTGCTACAGTCTCACTGGCCACTTTATCAGAAACCCCTCTCTTGTAGCTCCACCTTGATGGTGTACAGTTAGAAATTGTAACTCATCTGTTGATGCACAGCAGACACACACACAGATAGACCCAGCGGGGCTTGAGTCACTGCCCTTCTGCCTTAAAACCATTCCCAAGTTCTCTCCTGGTCAGTGTGTTCAGCCGTCTTTTACATTAACATTATTCAAGATCCATTTGAGTTGTAAAAATGATTAAAAGCTACAGAGAAAATGTGCCTCCTAACAACCACCTGGAAGACCTGGTCGACACCAACACTGCCCCCATCAGATAAACAGCACTTAAAGCTTTCATCTCTGAGAGAGAGGAGAAAATCAAGCTGCTTCAGATCTGAAAACATCCACAGGTGTTTCTGTCCATCCTTCCACTGTGAGAAGACGACTCAGCGCTGTGGGTCTGAAAGGATGTGTAGCTGTGAAGAAGAACCTCACTGAGAAAAGGAGACGGACACATCAAACAAAGAAGCTGAACGATGGACTGACCACCCCAGAGTCCAGACCTCAACACCACTGAATGTGTTTGATCACTTCAGAAAATGATCAAGGAGGTGTGTCGGCAGATTTACTTGAGAAACAAAGTGAGGCCCAATCCCATTTCACCCCTCGTCCCTACCACTGAGCCCTTACCCCTCCGTTTTGCGCGTTCACGGCTAGGGGCAGGGTGTCCCGGCTTTTGTTGAGATAGAGGGGTAGGGCGAAGTGTTAAGGCATCATGGCCCTCTAAACTGAGTGTTATGAGGAAAAAGCAAGATGGCTGCACGAGAGACCAAAGACACCCACAAATGTGAGAATTTTCTCCGTTAAAAAATTTCGATAATCATTGTATTATCTAAGTTTAATGCCGTTTCAGTGTATTATGGTCCTTTTTTCATAACAAGCATAAAAATCGCTATTAGTTTGCTGATGTCTCGGCAGCTAGCTAGCTAATTTTCCCGTTCCACCTTAAATGGTGTAGCAGTTACAGCCCAGAAATGTTGCATGATTTAAGGTGGAACGGGAAAATTCAAACAAGAAGCTGGTGAATACCTGACTTCAGCTTCATATCACTGAAGAATTAGGGGTGGGTGATAATAAATAATTGCCCCCCTCTTTGAAGGCATATGATTCCCTAAATGTAACTAAAGCCCAGCAGTGAGGAGCTGAACTTTACCCTCCTCTGCTGTCACTGCAGACTGGCAGGGTCGCCTACAGAGCAGCACTGGTAGCTGTTAATGAAGTGATGCTCTTTTTATTTAAGGGTCTCATTTCAGAGGGAAGATTTCAACCACTACCCATTGTAACTCAGTTCCAAGGGGCAAGGAGACACTCGAAAACAAGGTGTAGGGGTGAAAATCAGAAACGGGATTAGGCCTGAGTCTCCTGAAAAGAATGGAAGCTGTAATAAAGGTAAAGAATGGACACAATAAATAGTGAAACATCAGATATTATATTTAGCTGTTGATGCTTCTGTGTAAACGATTTTTCTGCTTTTATTCTGACACTAAAATGAATAACTCGTACATAATGGCTGTTTCGACTGAATATGAACTGAATGAAAGGTGGTCTCTGACTTTGGCACAGTACTGTAGCTTTCAGAGGCATTAAACTCTTCAGACGTCTGGTTCCCATCACCACCACTGTGAACAATTCTGACTCATTTCACATCAAACCACTCTGAATGACTTTGTTTACATCTTTTCCTCTTTATGAATGAGATCTAGTAGCCTGCTGCTGTAAACAGTGTGTGGTTGTGTGTGTGTGTCAGGCTGAGGTGCTTCACACACTTTCATCCGCTCCCCCGACATCACACCATCATCACACACTCTGATCACTCTGATTCAGCCTCCGCCCGCCAGCCAACACTTACATACACAAACACAGAACTCCTCCACTTCTGAGAGATGCTGAACCCAGATTAGAGCAGCCGACCTGAGGAAAACGCACTCGCGCCTCAGTGGGAGCGCAACTAGCCGCAGGCTGAGACTCGCTGCGGAAGAGGGGAGCCGCGTTTGTGTGTGCGTTTGCTTTCCAGCTTTGCTTGGCTCGACAGAGACCAACAGGTGCGTCCAGGTGTATGTGAGTCAGAGAGCTGTGCTGGCTCAGGTCTACAGCTCAGTTAGGCGTCCATCTGCTGGAACAAACAGTCCAGAAACGCTGACAGTGGCTTGATGAAGGGGTGCTACAGGACTGAAGAGATAGTTCAGCAAAAGTAATCAAACTTGCACCAAAATGTCGATCAGCCAAGACACATTTGGGGTCTGAAAGCTGGGGAACAGCTTGTCTTCACAACCGACATAACCCTACAAAACTATTCATAAATGCTTATTTCAATGGGCGTCATTCGCTATAAAGGCTACATTTGCCAATTTTGATCAAAGTTAGCTAAAGCAGGCTTTATGACAGATGACGCCTATTGGACAAGGTTCTCCTTGTCTGTTTTTGGCTAGCTGAACCACGTTTTGAGAAAGGCAGCTGGCTAAACCACAGCATTTAAAGGGTAATTACACCTAGTGGTTCAACATTATTGCATAATTAATTGATTAAGATGCAAACAAAGTCATTCAGAGTGGTTTGGTGTTTAATGCTCCGATTTAGAGAAACGTACAAGTCAGCATTGTTCACAGTGGTGGTGATAGGAACCAGACATCTGAAAACACCCCTCACTGAAAGTTAGTGTGTTGCTTTTGAATATGCTGCCTGGTTTTGGCCTAAAACATGTATTTTTCCCCAATTTAGTCGCATCCAATTCCCTTCACTAGTTAAGACTCCCCCAATCACACGACACCACCAGCGCTAGGGGGGCGAAGGCACAGGCTTCCTCCAAGACCTGTGAAACTAGCCACTGTATCTTTTCGAACTGCCGCTCACGCAACGTCATTGGACATCTGAACGTGCTTGGAGGAAAGCACCAACCGCCAGATCTGTTACTTCAGCTAACAGACGCATCGCACTGAGCAATGGGGGGAGATAGGGGCCATCCTACCCAGCCAGAGAGAGAGAGGCCAACTGAGCTCTCTTGGACTCCTGGCCACAGCTGGCCAAATCATCACCAGGGATCGAACTCATGATGAGAGGGTCAACGCTTAGACAGCTGCGCCATTCAGGAGCCTAGAACATATTTTTTATATACATTAATGGCAGAGAGGTACATGTCAGAGTGGTTTGAGTCCCCAAAGAAACTTTATTTTGTGCAGATTTATGGCTATTTTACCATCATCAACATTCCATATAAATCTCAGAAGACATCGTGTAGGTTCACTGAGGTTTTGGATAGTAAATAAAATGTCCATATGTGTGTTGTAGTCATGGCGACCCCTGGTTTCTATCACCACCACTGTAAAGAAATCTGAGTCTCTACAATCAACCATTTCACACCTGGCTCTGTTCACATCTGAGTGAATTACCCAGAAATTTTAAAAATTCAGTGACATTCCCCTTCAGCCACAGTACTTAAGGTGGAACATTAGTGCCACGCAATGTGTCAAGAATAGAAACATGAGCTCTGCTGCTCATGTCTGGCGTATACAATGGGAATGTTTTGGTTTAGTCATTGACTCGCTTCACTTTCTATTGCAATAGTTCTGTGCAGTTGGCTTGTTACTCATAATAAAGTAGTGGGCGTTACTGTTTTTACGGCTGGTTGCTGTTGCTAGGTGACAGTCAAATAAGGCTTTGAGTGATTCTGCAAAGAGATTTGTTGGGAATGTCATTATTGGGAGATACTGGCACTCATACAGACCTCTCAGCCAATCACAGTGCTAGATCAGACCTAACTGTGGT